TCCGTAATCAAGGTGGTAGCTAAGGATGAGGTAGCGAATCGGTTACCATTCGATGATGGCCACCAGGAAGTGGCTTGGTTTGAATTCGCCAACAAATTCAACCAACTGATTACGGATGCCTCAGAGACAAGGCTTTTCAGTAGGCCAAAGCCATTTGTTTCGTGGAGAATACTAATAACCTAAATAATAGGCCAGCTGCACGCCATAACGGCGCTTCGCAACCATGAGACCAACTTCATTCTTGCGCGGGCTGAGTATACCGTGAGGACGAACCCCTACAAGGACACTAACAGGGGATCTCATGGTTGCAAAACCAGGTATGCAGACCACTCGGCCACCGGTCGACTGACTGACTGCATGCAACGCAGCCAGGCAAGAATACAGATCATCACCAACGCCAGATAATTGGGACAACACTGTAGGCCATCGTAAGAATTGCATCCAACTGCTCAGATGGCAAAGTCGCATATCCTCGTAATATGGCAACTACTTCCAGGGATAACCATAAACTGCTGCACAAATATAGCAATGGTCGTCGTAAGGTAAGGCAGGCAATTCCTCCACTCCGGATGACTGACGGTTCAATAAGCACAGTTATAAAAGCAGCAAACACGTTGCGGACGCAATGTGCTCCCACATTTCTGAGGGTCTTACCAGCAAGTCATCTGTAAGCTTTTGTTTTTGCGTCTCGAGGACTCACACACATCACTTTTACTGCCGAAGCTGTATTGCAAAAGCTGACGTCTCTTCGCAACCGCATTTCCCCACGAGTCGACACTATTTGTCCAAAGACACTGGGAGTAGTAGCAAGACAAGCGGTAAAATCTTTGGCCTAATACATACAGCGCTGCTTAGACTAGCACCACATTTCTGCGATGTGAACTTGGAATAATAACTCAGATTCCCAAAGACGGAAGCAGGACTGCGCCCTCAAACTACTGCCCAATGTCTCCTCTCCCTGTCTTATCCAGTCATGAAATCCATCCTTGCCGGTGCGTTGGTGTGTTATATAGCAAATGGTAAAATTATTACACCCGCGCAAGACGGCTAGCGTCGACAAGAATCATGCGCAACAAGTTTATTAAACGCACGAATAGTTGGACCGAGTCAGTTGACGTTGGAGAAACCGTTGATGTGATCTACTTGGATTTGTCGAAGGCATTCGATCGTTTCGATCATTGGAGTCTCCTTTCCACGCTTCAGTATTACGGGATCGGTGACCCTCTCTTGAGCTGGATCGCAAACATTCTCCTGCAACGACAATTGGTGGTCAGATACCGGAGCTCCTTAAACGACCCCATACCAGTCGAGGCTGGTGTGCTCCAGGACTTAATTCTAGGTCAATAATTGTTTCGGGTATTCATCAGTGACTTTGCACGGAAAATCGTTTCAAAATTCCTGCTGTTTACTGACGATATCAAGATATGGCGCCGGATTCGGTTGGATACCAATCAGAATTCACTTCAGGTCGACCTAGATATGGCACATCATTGGTCAACCCGAAATCTGCTACAGTTCAACCTGGACAACTGCAAGCTAATCTCAATACGACATCAGAGTACCTATTCATACATGCCAGGAACGCAAGGCCCGCAGTGATCATCCATCGAATGAGACCATGGCGTAAGTAAAATAAGTTAGGTTGTTCCATGAAATCCGGAAAAGCAGCGGAAATTGGTAACCAGCACGTCGGCTTGCTCTGATGAGCGTTCGTACAGATATACAGCACAATTTTCAGACAGATGCTGAATGCGGACGTTCGCCCTCATGTCAAATACACAATCCAAGTCTGGCAGTCGTGGCTGAAGCACGGCCTTTTTACACTGCCCCATCCTCAACGTCGAGCTTCTAAAGCGTCCTTGGAATACACTACCTTCCGTAAGGGCGAAGGCTGAAACGTTCGGGAGTATTCAGCGGGCGATATGACCTACAACGAGGCGACTTGATTATGACGTATTTGATTGTATAGAATCCAAATCATTTGTACAGCTCTTTACTGCTACGCGATAGTAGCACCAAGCCGAGAGGCCACTCCTGGAAATTAGCAGAACTGCAGAGCGTTCTGGCGCACCGTAGAAATTTCTTTTCCATTCGTGTGTGCCAACTATGGAACGTTCTCCCCGAAGCAATTGTTGCTGCACGAATGCTAGCCATTGTAGCAGTCTGGAGATTCCCCGGTTTGCCTGTGTAAAATTCTAACCAAAATTCTATAATTGTACACCTAGGCAACCGGTGTGGTTTGTTGAACTGCTTGCTGAGTTCGAATGCTTTACTTGCTCATCGGCATTTTTGCTTGGCGCTCGTTTCGGTTGCAACGCGCAACTGCCCTGTGTGCTGTGCTTGATCCGTTCCCCTAGCTAAAGCGTCCACGGTGTCGTTCTTTTATAGCTAGGTAACAGGGAATCTTTTACTGTACCAATAAAAGTTTCCCTGCAACTCGATCTGTCTTCTGGAATCGCTCTCTGGGCTCCCGGAATAGGCAACCCTCTAAATTGGTGACCCCGAATCCGGATCAACCTCCGCGCCGGATATTTGGAACTTTTCTCTGGTGAGCTCATTCCATTTATTTTTCATATTTTCCGGTTTATTTTTGCATACGGTAGCCTAATTTTTGCATCCTTTTTTAAGCCGTGGATTCTGTAGAACCTAAGGTAGAGTCTCTGCTTAGCGTTGTATCTCTCTCTGTACCACCTTTTTGGGACATGGATCCTCTTTTGTGGTTCGCTCATCTTGAGGCCGAGTTTTATAACCACAAAATCACTTCCGACTACGCGAAGTATTGCAAGCTCCTGTCCTATCTCCCCAAGGAGATATCAATGCAGGTTCGTGACGTCATCATTTCTCAGACCGAAAGCCGCTATGAGGCTCTCAAGGAGGCCACGATCAAGCGTGTTATGCCTTCTGAGAAAGTTCGCCTGCAACAGCTTTTCAGGGATCTGCAACTGGGCGACAAACTGCCCTCAACCCTGCTACGAGAGATGCAGCAACTCCTTGGTTCCTCAACCATGGACGAGACTTTACTTCGCGAACTATGGCTACAACGGCTACCGGAAAACACACAAGCGATTCTCGCTACAGTGCGCTCCGTTTCGCTCACTCAACTGGCGGATTTAGCAGATCGAGTTATTGAACGATCACAGCCACAAGCCGACGCCAGCAAGATGAATGCCGTCGCGTCCCAGGGCACTTCTATCACTGGCTTACAGTCAACTATAGAAGCCCTGCAAACACAAGTTGCGGCACTTAGTCGCCAGGTGCAACAGCTTACTATGACCCGTCGTCGTCCTAGCCGCTCAAAATCGCCATGCAAACGTTCTAAGTCTAGAAACAGGCAGGATAGCTGTTGGTACCACCAGCGTTTTGGTACCGCAGCTCATAACTGTGTAAAGCCTTGCAACTTCGCCGAGAAGCAGGGAAAACTTCGCGGCCGGTCCGTAACGGCGACGAACGCGACTGGCCAACACCAAAGTCGCCTCATCCGTGTTAGCGATTTGACTTCCGGCACCGAGTTTTTAGTCGACACTGGTGCCGAAGTTAGCGTTATACCCCGTAGCTCAGATGAGGTCGTCTCACCATCGCCGACCAAGCTGCGTGCCGCCAATGGCACACCAATCGCAACTTTCGGCGAAAAGCTGCTAACGCTCAACTTAGGCCTCTGGCGAACCTTTCGCTGGCCTTTCATAATCGCTGCTGTGCCTTTCGCTATCATAGGCATAGACTTTCTGCAACGCTTCGACCTCATCGTCGACGCTAAAAGGAAGAAGCTTATCGACTCTAGGACACAGCTCAGTGTTATCGGGACTAGCGCCAACGTGGCTGCTATCACTCCCATTCGTGTCCTACCTCAAGCTTCACAACCTTTTCTAGAACTTTTCAGCAAGCACCCTAAACTCGTTCGCGTCCTGAACGACTTGCCTCCTGTGACGTCAAACGTCATGCATTACATTTGCACTAAGGGCCCACCTGTTTCGGCCCGTCCTCGCCGACTAGCCCCGGACAAGCTCAAAGCTGCTAAGGCGGAATTCGAGCAAATGCTCGAACTGTGAATAATCCGCCCATCCAAAAGTCCATGGGCATCACCAATACACATGGTGCCTAAGAAATCCGGTGACTGGCGCCCTTGTGGTGACTACAGGGCACTTAACAAAGTTACCGTCCCGGATAAATACCCTATTCCGCACATGCACGACTTGACCTCAGCTCTAGCTGGCAAGTCTATCTTCAGCAAAGTCGACCTAGTTCGCGCCTATCATCAGATACCTGTCGCGCCAGATGACATTACTAAAACAGCAGTCATCACGCCATTTGGTCCATTCGAGTACCTCAGAATGCCTTTCGGCCTCAGCAACGCTGCCCAAACTTTTCAGCGTTTCATTCATGAGGTAACGCGAGGACTCGAAGGCGTTTATCCTTATCTAGATGACCTTCTTATCGCGAGCTCTTCTGATGAAGAACATCTTCATCAACTCGACGCTCTCTTCCAACGCTTAACGCAACATGGGGTTACCGTCAACCCCGATAAATGCGAGCTTGGCCAAAGTTCCATCGACTTTCTTGGCCACCGCATATCTGCCTCTGGTATCGAAGCCCTGCCAGACAAAATCTAGGCACTAAAGGACTATCCTGCTCCCAGTTCCTTCAAGCAGTTACGCCGATTTCTTGGCCTGGTTAACTATTATAGACGTTTTATTCCTAACTGCGCGAGCATTGTTCAACCAATGACTGACTTGCTCCACGGTAAACAACGCTCTTTTCACTTTACGGACGACGCTAAATTGTCGTTCGAGAAGCTCAAAGACGCTATCTTAGACATAGCGCTTCTCGCCCATCTAGACACATCTGCACCACTCTCCCTGACAACTGACGCCTCTGACACTGCCGTCGGTGCAATTCTTCAACAAATAAAAGGCCCATCGATAGATACCTCTAGGTTTCTTCTCAAAACGTTTACAACCTGCCGAATCGCGTTACAGCACCTTCGGTAGGGAACTGTTAGCTACCTACCTAGGTATCCGACATTTCCGTCACTACCTCGAAGGTCGACACTTTACCGTCTTCACTGACCACAAGCCATTGATCTACGCAATCAATGGCGCAAAGGACAAGTATTCTCCGCGGGAAACCAGACACCTAGACTACGTTTCTCAGTTTACGACAGACGTACGACATGTCGCAGGTGCTCTCAATCCCGTTGCAGATGCACTTTCACGCATTCAGCAGATCAGCTTATCGCCTGGCACCAACATTGATCTAGCCACTATGGCTGCTGCCCAACAAGCTGATCCCGACATAAGCAAGCTACGACGCAGCACCACTGAGACGATCACCATTGATCGACTCAAGCCAGCATTCCTCGACAAGTCTGACTCTTCGGTGCAGCAAGCATCTTCACAGCCTGCGCCATCACAGCTCGCACCGCAACCTCAGACGAGTCAGTCCGCTCCAGCAGAACCGACAACCTCAGCCGACAGCACTCCTACTCGCCCTACTACCAATCGACGCGGTAGGAAGCTCAAGCCTCCAGTTCGTTTTTCGGACTTCGTTCGCACTCACTATTTTACATAGAACTTGCCTTTGAAATTTTCTGCTCTTACTAAACGTTTTTGAAAATCCACAAAAAAAGACCAAAACGTTTTGAAACTACTAAAAAAAGGGCAAAACCTTTTGAAAACCCAAAAACAGCTTTGCACGTTTTTCGCTTTGCACTCTTTTGTGTATTGCTATGCATTTATGCTGCTTTTTCGTTTTGCTTTCCATATACACCGTCGGTTGGTTGCACCTCGGTTTCACTTTCCGCTGGATCTCCTCACGTCAACTGCAAGTGGAACGAACTTCTTGCTCAACTGCCTACGTGAACTTTACTAACTGTCCTCCCACAAACAGTTTTTTTACCGTTTCGACACCGTAGGGAGGACACGGGTGGGAGCCCGCTAGGGTTCGATTGCATGGTTCTCCCCCAGCAGCTGCATCAGGTTTCACAACCTGGTCTCGCAGAAGGCTGGCCCGCGACGGACAGTCCTCACGTAGATCGAAGGACTGCTTACACAGTCCCTTCTGGGAGAGGGCTATGTAGCAGTCTGGAGATTCCCCGGTTTGCCTGTGTAAAATTCTAACCAAAATTCTATAATTGTACACCTAGGCAACCGGTGTGGTTTGTTGAACTGCTTGCTGAGTTCGAATGCTTTACTTGCTCATCGGCATTTTTGCTTGGCGCTCGTTTCGGTTGCAACGCGCAACTGCCCTGTGTGCTGTGCTTGATCCGTTCCCCTAGCTAAAGCGTCCACGGTGTCGTTCTTTTATAGCTAGGTAACAGGGAATCTTTTACTGTACCAATAAAAGTTTCCCTGCAACTCGATCTGTCTTCTGGAATCGCTCTCTGGGCTCCCGGAATAGGCAACCCTCTAAACCATGTTTAAAAGTCGGTTGGATGACACACTCCAACAGCTACAGTTTGTTACTTGACAATGCTTTCCATCTTACTCCCGGTAAATACCTTTGTTTTATATTTTTCGCTTAGTGAAGTGCGGAGTTACTGCTTTCTATACGGTAAGTCCATCCTTTTGACAGTAGAACTAGTAACTGCATTTTTCTTAGTAACGTTATACGTTAACCCACCAGGCCATCGGACGGAGCTTCTATAGAAGTGCTTCTTAACCAGGATAAAATCATTGTTCATTGATCAAATACCTATTTAGCACCTGTGGATGCAAGCCTCTAATTTTCTCACACTGGTGAGTCGAAAAATTGTGCTTTGGTTAGTTAATCCCAATGTTTCCTTCAACATAAACTACCGAAGTTGCACATCGTCAATTCTATTTTAATCCATGAAACAGCGTTTTATACCCAGAAGAATGAATATTCTACTGTCTGGAAGTGTTAACTACAGTTGCCTGTCGGCCGAATGGTACTTTAATGAACCAAACATTTGCAATGTGCCGATGTTCTTTCCGTCATTGGTTAAAATGAATTTCACAATTTGCCAAGTTTTGTGCTACCAATTGGCATCACACGCGTAACTGAACATTGTAAATCTGATTCACGGATTGTATTATATACCAGTATTCTGTTAGAATATCTCAGTTGTGGTTGATGCCATTCGAGGGCTGAAGCGAAGCCGCGAAATGGCTCAGAAAGACGGCACAAGCGTTGCCTGATGCTTAGACAAATCACCATATGTTCAAACACTAATATATGAAGCTTAGTCGGAGTCTTTTTAGCACGTCTGAACGTTTAAGGAAATCGATTTTTTCGACAGTAAGTTGCCGGCGTGGTATGTGATGATTTGGAGGTTGTGACTGAAACCAGCTGTGGACAAACATCTGTTAGGTTACCAGTAAAGACCAGAAAAGCCTTGACAACAGTGTGTTTAACTCACACGCCACGTACGTAACGGAACATTTAGATGTAAGTCTTCTAATCCAGTGTAACATCGGTGACTATTCCGTTCGATACCTAACTATACCCGATTGTGTGCGTGATTTTGGCCTGTTTCTTGATTTCGGGTCAGCGAACACACCAATGTTATGAGGTCACTCAATGGTTGAATACTAATGACTGGTGAACGCGCTACTTGACACCAAATCAGCTAATTTATGGCTCAACAAATTACCAACAGTGGTTGAGGGCAGGGGTTCCGTGTGTTATCAGTGAGTGTGAATAGCTGATAGAATCGCCTTGACTTTCACATCGTCGGCTGGATTGCACGGTGAATTAGCGTCAGCGACTGGGATCACATGCGAATGATACTTAACTACCGGCAGCGTTAAAGTATTTCATGGGCCGACGGGTATTACAATACTAACACGTTTATTCACAATGGTATTACAATCATTATCGCGGCTTAATGGTTCAGTCGTGTATGATGGGGAAAATGGTATTTGTATTCCGAGACCTGCAGGATGGCAAATGCAAATAAAATCATAGGGTTCCGGCATAGAACATGAAAACCAGTAGTCTGGATATTTCAATGTATTATACCGTTGTATAGCAGTTGCAGGTCTAATAGTCTTTCAACTGTTCCGATGTTCGGCCTGTAGCAGTCTGGAGATTCCCCAATTTGTCTGTGTAAAATTCTAGTTAAAATTATTATTTCATTGCACAGGTTACCGGTGCTGAATGTTGAACTGGTCATTGAATATGATTGTTTGAGTAGAGCAATGCCTTTGATTGGCACTCGTTTCGATTACAACGCGCGATCATCCTGTGTGCCGTACTGTTTATCCTCCCCATCAATGGTATCGTCGTTAGCTAGGAAAACAGGGAACCTTAAGCAGAACAAATAAAATCCACAGCAGAATTACAACTAAATCCTGCTACTCACGAGTAATATAAAAATTAAACGCACCTAGTTTCAAATGTTATGGACATAGCGTCTAGCGAGAGGACGTCATCACCTCTTAGGTTAGCCACTGTCAGTGACACTGGAAGATAGGTGGTGCTATATCCCACTTAGGTTGCAAATTATGCAGCCCATCTAACGTCCCTCATGGCTCAGTGGCTTAAGCTGCTGGTTAGTTGTCATCCGCCTCTAGAGCTCTTGGGTTCGATCTCCAGTAGGGGACTGAGGGAAAGCGCACCTCTGACGAGCCCCAATAGCGCGAAACGCGTCTAGTGCTTTCCGGACTAGTCTATACTGTAGCTTGTGAAGTACTGGGATGAAAACCTCAACCAAATTACAGCTAAAATCCTGCTACTCACGTGCAATATAAAAAAGAAAATTTCCACTGCAGCTCGATCTACCTTCTGGAAGGGTTATCCGGGGTCCCGCTGTAGATGCGTTAACCACATGTGTTTGCAGTGCGTTTCAGTTCTACGTCTGATGAAACACGAGGGATTAGTTGAACGTGCCTTCTTCATCTCTGACGCAGTTGCGATTAGGTAGCTGAAGCGTTCAACAAACTGAATCCAGGCGCTGTCACGTGAGCCACCTTTCATGAATTCCCAATCGGTCATCTCAACTAGGTCGTCCAGGATATTATAGTGTGGGATAGTACGCATTAGTTCTATGTGTTCCTCAGGATATTCAGCGTAACACACATAGTTATAAAATGTGGTGACATGATCGCTTAACCCTAGTGGGATGTCTAAAAATGGCCTGTCGATCATGAGTTCCTCATTTGTAAGTACGAGGTCAAGTACGGATGGTCTGTTGTCAGCTCTGTACCTGGTAGGTGAAGTGATGTGATGTGATTGTAGAGCAAAATACTTGCGATAAGGTCTTGCAAATCGATCTTGTATGTTTCGCTGGGGAATGCCGAGGTTTCCAAGTCGTGCACATTGAAATCGCCGGAGATTAGAAGGTGGCTGTAAGTTGGGAGTAAGCATTTCGTCAGTGATGATATTAGGAGGGAATCCATGGAGTGGAGTCCATGGAATCTGGAGTGGACGATGGGAAGCGATATATGACTGCCAGGAAGCAGTTGCCGTTGTGACTGAGACGCAAACGCACCATAGCGAATCGGTGACTCTCGTCTCCGGATCATCCAAGGGTTCGCATTGTAAGTCGTTTTGATAGTATAGGATAGCACCACCTACCCTGCTGGGACGATCGTGTCGGAACAAGGACATTCCCTGAATCGCGACCTCGGCATCCGGAACCCCTGTGTGCAACCAAGTCTCGGTTACGGAGATGAGATTCCAAGTGTTTGTTGTCTGGCGCAACCGAAGCTCGGCGATTCTGCTGAGGCTTTGGGCATTCGTACGTACAGAAACTTGTTTCGGTGCTCAGCAATGAACCGAGACACTTGTGGCTAGGATGAGAGGTTGTGTCGACCGTTGTATGGTCGATCGCTAGCCGTTTTTGTGGTACTGTCGACGAGTCGCTCGGAGTTGGGATCAGTGATATCATGCTTAGCCCCTGACAACTCAGTTTGCACAATGCATGGGGAGTGGCTGCAGGATTGCACAGGAAGATGTTCACTTCCTTCAGACCTGCTTCCGGGGTGAATTTCGGATAAGATCACTAATTCCTTTGCCTGCTGTGGTGATGCTTTAAGTCGGACGAC